TAACTGTTAAGACACTAAAGAGATCCTGAGAACAAAAAATTTGGGAACAGCTGCTATAAAGAACATCAGTGGGGCAACTGGTAAGGTTAGATAAGATTTATATATATGTCATGTACTATGTCAGTGCTAACTTCCTGATTTTGATCACTGTACTGTCATCATATAAAGGAATGTCTTTTTTTTAGGAACTTACACTATTTAGGGGTAAAGGGGCATATCTACTATTTACTCTCAAAAGTGTAGAAAAATTATTATTACATATGCACATAATTATTTACATATATGGCATGGCCTCAGGCCTAAGGCAGTCACCTTCCACACCCAAGGCTGGTGGTTCAAACCCACCAGCCACTCCCCGCCAGGTAGCCAGGCCATCTCTTTCTCTCTGGTAGTGTAGTGCCTAAGGCATTTGAATGCTAACCAGAAGGCTGGTGGTTCAAACCCACCAGCCACTTCTTGGAAGGAAGATGGGGCAATCTATTTCCACAGTGATGTTGTTGTTGTTGTTATATGCTGTCGAGTCGGCCCCGACTCAATACTGCCTCAGAAATCCAAGGAGGGGTCACTATGAGTCGGGTCCGACTCAACAGCACATAACAACAACAACAATATGTAGATATAAAGTGAGAGATGCAAATGGTAATGAGAAGCAAGTGGTAAAATGTTAACATTTGAAGAATCTGGGTATAGGGTATACAAAAATATTTTCTACTATTTTTGTAACTTTTGTATAAGTCTGTAAGTATTGCAAAATAAAAACTTTTTAAAAAATCTTAGTATTGCTAAGTTCTTACAACATTGTCACCTCCTGTTCACCTTCATTCCCCTGTGACCCCAGATCTTTGACCAGTTGTTGTTGTTGTTGTTGTTAAGTGCCGTTGAGTCGTTTCCAACTCATAGCAACCCCATGCACAGCAGAACGAAACACTGCCCCATCCTGCACCAGCCCCACAATCCCTGCTATACTTGAGCCCATCATCGCAGCCACCGTGTCAATCCATCTCGTTGAAGGCCTCCCTCTCTTTCGTC